CCTTTTGCAACGGAACAAAACGAAATTTACCATCAATATAATAAAATTGTTTGAGAACATATAAATAATTCAAATATGTTGTTAGCCAAATGAACATATAATAGAAATTTTCTACACATTATACAGTGTAGGAAAGTACCGATGGTCTATCAGAAGTTACGTGAGAGCGATAAAGTAAGCCATAGAATTCCATGTGATAGACAAGGATGGCTAATATGAAGGCGTCTAATAGTCATCGCCCATTTCGCCCTTCCACAAATAAGATCCACTTCTTATTTGTGGAAGGGCGAAATGGGCGTTGACTATTAGACGCCTTCATTATAGCCATCCTTGTCTATCACATGGATTTCTATGGCTTACTTTATCGCTCTCACGTAACTTCTGATAGACCATCGGTACTTTCCTACACTGTATATAAGTTATTATAATTTTTTACCTTTAACAGAAAAGTTTTTTAGAGACGCCTATGAAAGTCATTAAATTTTATTGCTAGGCGCTTTTTATATGTTCAACTGATTTCGGAAAGACCATACCTGTCGGTTCTTCCACTCAAAAGAGCGAAAATCGATAATCCACATTTTCAGGTGTAGCAACTGTCTGGCTTTGAAATAGTGAGGGGTCTATTCTTATACATCTAGGTTAATGGTGTTGTAGTAAGAACTATTATAATCTGTTTTTTTATGGTTCTGTCATGTCCAAACTTGTAGTAATTACTAATTACTATTCACCTATAATATTAATTTTTGAACCAACTGCACTGAACTACACTCTTCATAATCTTCTTACTAAGAGTACAGTTAAAATGTATCTGGTCAAGGCTTTTTCACTGTTTCTGTTCAACAACATCATAATTATTAGAGTCGCAAATCGACTGCAGTTCTGGCCAATAAGAGAGTATAAGAAATGTCGTGAATCAGTTATTTATTTCTGATAATACCTGATACAACTTACAAATTGTGTACGTAAACACTTTACTATTTCTAAAGCACAATCTATTTATGTTTGAGTGTGCGATATATTTCAAATAGCAGAACTTGATAACACGCTGTTATATCTATTTAATCTATAGTGTTCGACACTGACAGAAAGAATGTGTAAACTTACACAGTGTATGCTAACCGCAATAATATTACCTATAGATAACAGTGGACTAATCCTTTGTGGAACAAAAACAATTTCAAGGGGTTTAAATGTATAATAAAGGTTATAAGTGGGTATGATTCGTTACCTGTTTATTCTATCCCTCGCAATATTTTCATTTCATTCCCCTTTTTTTTTGCTGAAGTTGGTTAATTCAATTATGTATTTGTTTACACTTCATTAAATTCTACCCAGCCATAGTGTTACAGAAATTTCAATTAGTTTTACGAGCGTGTGTCAAGGTTACTAACTGATGACCATGCATGTAAAGTTTACATAAATTTTTTAACAATAGGAGTTAACCGCAGTCGTAAATACCGATAAAAATTTCGGCTGTAGGTATTGGTACAAATTGTACGTAAAACGTTTCTACCTCAGCAATTCTTTTAATTCCTGTTTGCTAAGGTACATCGTAATGATGAATTAAACAAACTTTTCTGCGAATCATTGAAAAAAATACACAAACAATTAATTGTTCTTATGTAATCCACTAGTTCCTGGTCGTTTACTTTTAACAGAATCGTGTTTATAATCGTAAAATCGTATTTGTTATTAGCGTTCCCTTTTGTTTGTCGTCAGTTCTGCGATGAGTTTAAACATATGACGCAACTGCAGTAATTCCCCTTTCAGAGTAATTCCCAAATTGGTTGCATTGCTATTGGAATCAATCGAAATATTATTTCAGCACTAGTCTTCGGGGGTTCTTGCTAAACCTTGACAAAACTTCTTTTTCAAATTTATTTTTTGCTTCCAAAATGGCCTTTCTATGCACACTCATCATACAAAGACCGACAAGGGATTTTCTGTCATTGTCGACCGTAACCAAGTTTTTACTCTAAGGTGCCAAAGAACCTTTCAACAGATTGATAGTATGTACCAGGTTCGGTCGCTGACGCAGCAACTCGGCATTGAAATATTTGAAAAACTTGTTCCCATAATTATTTAGCCATACCCATATATAGGTCTGGTCGAACTAAACGTGGAGGCGTTAGAAATGTATACGCTCAGTTGAAGAATACGAGCGCGGGCAAAGGCAAACGATCACAGTTGCATTAGGCTACTGGGCAATAAATCACGGCAGATGACAAGTGGTTGATAAATTGCCCAGCAGTGCAGTGCAGCAATGCAGAATTTGGTGCGATTCAGGTAATTTTAATTTATTATAGATACCTTCTATCAATCATTCATATTACAATTGCGAAAGGGAGAAATAAGATGAATATTTTGTTTACTAATATACATGGCATTTTGGAGACCTTTTGAAACGGAACAAAACGAAATTTACCATCAATATAATAAAATTGTTTGAGGACATAAATAATTAAAATATGTTGTTGGCCAAATGAACATATAATGGAAATTTTCTCCATATTATATACAAATTATTATAATTTTTTACCTTTAGCAGAATTTTTTTTTATGGACGTCTATGAAACTCATTAAATTTTATTACCAGACGTTTTTTGCATATTCAACTGACTTCGGAAAGACTATAGGTACACGTGCAATTGCGTTTCTTCAACTAATGCAGTTAGTTCTATTTCCTTTAGTTCAGCCTTTGAAAAATACAAAGTAATTTATATTTGTCGGGGGATGTGACCAATAAAGCACATACTTAAAATTACCATGTTTCCCAACTGAATAAATTAAAATTATTTTTTATTTTTTAAAGATATTCGTCAGTTGGAGGTTTTTAAATAATTCATTTTTACCGGCTCGACAATTTTTTTTAATAAATGATATTGGTAGCCTTATTTTTATTCAGTTTGTTGTCAATAGTGGGAAAATTAGAGGCCAAATTTCAAGAAAAACACCAAATTTTTTCACAATTGTCGACGTTTCGTCACTTATCGTGACATCCTCAGGACACTATAAAATTTAATAATTTCAAAATTACATCACAATTTATAAATAACGTTAAGTTTGTTATTTATAAATTGTGATGTAATTTTGAAATTATTAAATTTTATAGTGTCCTGAGGATCTCACGACAAGTGACGAAACGTCGACAATTGAGAAAATTTGGTGTTTTTCTTGAAATTTGGCCTCTAATTTTCCCACTATTGACAACAAACTGAATTTTTTAAATATTTTTGTTTATTAATGGACCAGGGGGAAGCGCCCAAGTTTGCCCCACCGTAGCTACGCCTATGCTTCAGATTCGATCATAAAATTCCCATGTCCTGATTAAGAAAATATATATTGTTCTTTTAGGAAGTAAATTTATGCCTTGAACAAATATATGAGGTCCTGTCAACTTGAACGGAGTTTTGTGTTGTGTAAGGCACACGATAAAAACATGGAAATACACCGAACCGAACCGAGATGCTGCAACATTAAGGCTACGTTGTCGAAATACCTACAAATACGTGCCGTTATCCACGAGGTTTTACAGAAAAACACCGTCCAGGCCAACTTTTCCTCTTGGAGTACACTTAAATCATAGGAAGCCGTGTAAACAAAACATTGGCAACAATCCGGATAAGATATACGTCGCGTTTTAGTCTTTCGGACTTCATTATTCGCCTGGATACTTTCGAATAAACAGAATTAAAAATAGACGGCTGTGACGAGCGAAAGATGAGTCGCTCGGGCTAAATTGAGGTTATGAAATTTCAGTGGGCGGACCAAATTATTATGCACGCCAGAATCTCAACGGACGATTAGTAAACCATACTTAAGTTGTGATTTAATTATCCTCAGAAGGCCTTTGGCGGAATTTTAGTATTCAAATAAATCGTTAAAGTGTAGTTACGTGCAGACCAATGCGAATTAAAGTGCAGTAAACAAATTTTCCAATTCACCCGAGGCTTTCCTAAAAAAAGGTCTAATTTACCAGCGTCTGTGATGGTAGGGAATTCCCCATACTCTCCGTAATATTCGCACGATTTCGCGGATGCCCTGAGGGAGGAAAGAAGTGACAAGTTAATCAAAATAAAAAAGAAACTTTCAGTCACGCCGAAATAGCTAGGAATCCTACCTCACACCAATTTAGTCCTATATTGAGTTTTCTCCGCTCTTAAATCAACTTATTCGGCCCTTTTTGTCACGTATATTTTCTATTTATCTCACTTTATGGAAAAAATGCCACTCTAGACATTGTTCTTCGAAGAAAACCTCTCTCCAATTTATGAATATCATAAATTTTCACCCACAAAATGAGTAACATATATTAAATCTAGTCACTGCTAGCAATTGTCTTTCATTTATAAAACTGTCAGCTTAAGAGAATCCTCTCTTATAAATTTGTACCAGTTTATTTCTTATAAATCATCCTTAAACTACCAATGTAAATAAAATAAATAATGAATTAGTTAATTTATACAAACATATATAGGTAAGTCTGAATATTACTAAGTTTCTATTTGTCTACTGTTAAGAATGCAACTTCAGTCTCTCGATAGGTTTTAATTTTTATGTTTTCCTTGTGGTTTCCACATAAAATATTTTTATTATTCTATAGTATATTCCTAGAAAACCACAAACGATAAAAACGTAAAAGCCCGTCTTAGTATTGCATTTAAATATAAGGTAAATATTATACAAAAATATACTCGTAAATGGTTAGAAAGAAAAGGTTTAAATAATCGTCGATGTTTTATATTTCACTAGTATGTAAGTCACTAATAACTTTTCAGCACACAGTATTTTGCAGCATTTTTATTGTAGATGTACTTTTTAATCTTGAGATTACGACCAGACTATTACAAATAAATGATAAGATGTGTCAACTTATTCATTTCTTTTTCATCATCATTCAAAGAAAATTAGAATTGTGTATATAAAGGGAAGATAATATTTCTAAAAGTAATTCACTTCGATGTTATTTAAACTAAAGAAAATTTGTAGATATAACTTACTTTGTTCAGTTCTTGTGAGTTCCTTATAGCCAATATAAAATCTGAAAAGATAAAAAAAGTTAAAAATAAATATAACAGTTATCATAAAAGTAAAATTAAAAAGCCGACTGGATTTTTTGTTGGTGAACTTACTGAAACACTCTGTATAAGGTACTGCTTTATTTATTGTTACTTATTATTATTACTTTTAATATCACACTAGTTTTATTTCACTACAACTGTTTTGTGGTTTGTCTCTACTTTCTGGTGATCTACAGGTAGTTAGCAGTCTTCTATCACAGCCACAGCAGCGTGGAACTAAAGCTGCTACGTACAGGCTATTCTAAAGTCGTAATAGGGCACAACGTCACGCACAGACCGACATACGCAAATGCTTGACGCACCGCGTCGACTTATCTTTATATTATGCAGGCTGAGGTATTTTGGAATTTGTATTTTTATACCGAGGATCACCGGGAAATTTTTCAACAGCGCAAAAATTTTAATACAATACGCACGACATCCATTGTTTTTTCAATATTTGGACACATATAATTAAGGTGATTTTGGAATCTTGTTAAAGCGGAACACTTCAGTGCTCGGCAGATTCTACTAAAGTAATTCGATTTCGATTAAATTTGGTAGAATATATTTATTACAGAAGCTGCGCATGTCAAATATCTCCACATTCTATTATATTTATGACAGAAATTATGTAGTCACCAGAGGTTTTAGTAATTGCATGTTTACCCAACCGTCCGAACGTGTTGTCGTCTCTTTAGTGACATATGCAAAGTATCGTCTGGGACTGGCTTTAAAAAATTCGTCATTTGCGTCTATATTTACAACTAGATTGTACTAAACAGTTTAAAATTGTATTTTTCGTAGGAGGAAGTGGACGGTATTTTTTTGACACGCCTAAAAACGGATAGCCGTCACGTCTCAGGTAATAAATAAAGGTTCCTGCCAAGAAGAATAGTTATTTACCTGATCCTATCTATATTTATGAATGGAATGGCTGCAGATGATAACTTAAAAAAACGTGTTACTAATTAACTAGACGTTGAGTGAGTTGTAACCTTATCAATGACATTTAAAGCTGTGCCATATGCTTTATAGGTTATATCTCACCCATACTGAAAACATATCTGTAGGTAGACATCCAAATAGCTGTGATTCGTCCGTTGTCTCATCGTATGAGACCTAATAAGTTCGAAATCGATCTATGTCTGGTGACTCTTCTGACGGATGATCTTAGCTATTTATTAGATATTGCGGGTGTAATTCAATGCTCGTCAAGGCATATAGCCCGTGGAGTAGTGGTTTCTCACAATATCATTAGTCAATAAAACTGTTATAATCAACTAGAATTTGTCACTGTTTCGTTTACTGCATCTTTAGGCATTCATATGGACTGCTATATCTAAAAGAAATGTTAAAATGTCTTGTTCGAGCTATGCCTGTCAGATAAATAAATGCACATATGTATAACTTTATTATGCTGAACTGTAGTTCCTGTTAGTGTAAAAGACATATTGAAAGCAAAAAAGAACTCTTACAGTGACTGTACTGGATATTTTTATTATACGACTTAATTTTACTTTTCAGAGTACAATATTCCGATAATAAACAATTTTAGTATGAATCTAAGTGGTCATTATTCGGAAATCATATATTAGTCGTGAAATGTATAATGTAAAAAAAACTGAGAGTATTATACAGTTAGACTTAAGTGAAAAAATGTAGATATTTGTAGAGGAATGCTTTAACGAATGTTATAATACCTGGTAAACCAAAATATATATTATTATATATTATTTGGCTTATATAATGGCTTTTGAGCCATTTTAATGATACAGGTTTATCTTTCATTTGCAAGAAAGTGAAACACTAGTAAGCCTATTTTAATATATTTAGCACGGTTTAATACTTTTTAATTTCATAGTGACGCCACTGATTTCGCACGAAAATGTCAAACTTTATTTATAAGTTTTAAATATCATTACAAACATGGCTATACAAATACGCCTGGAGACACTCTGAACTTTTAACTACTGAAGTTTATTATATGTACACAGAAACAATTTTTTTAATAAACAATGAATTCACTTTGAAGATTTTTATTAGTTGTTCATTAATTATGGTGGAGACATTGTTTCCAATCTTATTGTTTAAACATTATTACGGTCAATTATCGTCTGCAAATATTTAGAAATGGAAAAATTGCTTTCGAGAAATCTAAAATTAAGTTAAATAAAAACAATTCCTGAGCAAATTTTTCACAGAAACGAAGAACGGCTGAACAAACTCATGATCAAATTTAACTTCATATTACACCTATTCGTAGTACTAAATGTTAAATTCCCCAATCTCATAGAAGAGTATTTATTGGAAAAATAAACCAAAGTTCACCGTTCTAAAATGCTTCTCAACATGAGGTTCGCCTGCAAGATAAAAAGTGTGTTTATCTCCAAACAGTTTTGATACCGTGACTTGCAATTTATTTTAAAATACCTATTCTTCTCAATATTTAATACAAGCACTTAGTTTGTATACAACAGTATCAGAAAAAATTACCGCACTCTGTTTCAATCTAGTGTGAGGCCTTTTGGTTTTATATAAATGAACTTCTTTGTGAGGGTTTTAGTAACATTTTCCAAGTTGCCAATTGGACAGCTGAGAACTTCTTTTACAATGCTTCAGTTAAAGTATTTCTCGAACCTGTCAAAAAGTTAATGTATATAAATGGAGAAAATGTTTATTTATAAGAAACTGATGAGAAAAGAAACAGGACATAGCTGTAGAAAATATTAATATTGGAAGAGAAAAAATTCTATAATTAGAACAAATGGACAAGAACTTCTACTTTGTCAAAAAGATAGATAGAGATGGATATAGACGATATGTCTTATATAGTTTGCAAAGGTAAATTTCATATGATCATCATCATCATTACCATCAGCATCTAATAATACTATACTACTATAATAATTACTCTTGCTATTATTTTTCTATATTTTTTCAAAATTCAAAAAAGTTCTTTGTTTAGTTTAGTAATAATACTAATAGTTTTTATTGCTATGACTTTTATTCTCCATTTAATTATTGCTTGATATAAACGTAGCTTTTATAAACATTTGCTTATATGTCTTAAGCAGGTACTAATTGGTAATAAATAAAATTATGCAGATGGAATATAGCAGACTAAAAAAAACATTCCGTTGGTTGGGTATATTTGTAACTGAGGGTAAAAAAATATTTCTACATAAAAACGGTCTACGAACTGAAATTTTTTGACGTTCTGTTGTTTCGCACTCGTAAAGCTCTAGAAGAAAAATGTTTAAGTAAGGTTTAAGATGACGTTGGGCAGTGCCCTGTCTTTTTCAAGCGCCCTGTATGTGTTGTTGGTGGCTCCGGTAACGGGGCGTTGGCAGCGCATTACTATCGATCCTGCGACCTCGTTTTAGACCGCTTACTTGGGCCTTTATAAGCTCTTACAGCTTGAATAAATATCAAAGAATGAATTTTGGAGGGTCGACTGCGAAATAATTCCTTTACAGCCAATAACAGCGGGAGCTGCGGCAAATTTCTTTGACTGTCGACGCTTCCTCATTGTGTTTAAGCACGTTGCGGAAAGAAAAGAGATACGAGATTCCTTAAATTAAAAAACGAAGAGGAGTGTCCTGCAAAACTTCTTTTTTCCTTTGGTATAATTTACCGAGGCCATTTTGATACCTGAGATGTGATATTTATAAGCGATCTACAAAAGCGTCAAGTTTTATATGATTTCGGGAGGTCTTTTGAAGCATGAGAGGCAGGCACGTGTTTGACCTGACCTTAGGTCTCATTTGTCTGAAAATTCGTTAAATTTACCATAATAAGTACAAGTACAGATTTGGGATTTATAAATTTAGAACAAGAAACCAATAATCTAATCATATTTGAACTAAAAGTGGCAATTTTTCAAGGAAAGTATTCAGATAACCAAAACATTTCAATGATTTGTCACTATTAACAATCATAGGAGGATAAATATTGACGAACTGTCAATATACTGATGTAGTTTCATTGTTATTGTGGGCGTATCTTGTTTGCCGATGATATTTTGGTTGTTGATTAAGATTAAAAGTAATTTATTTCCAGAATCCAATAATGATATCATTGACAAGAACTGATGAATGAATTAAAACTGGTAGACAACAATGATTAAATATTGACTGTGTGAGGGCCAGAGTCGATACAGTCATTAAAAACTAAGTAAAGATGTTAACGAGCACTCACCAAATCATAGATTTATGTTTAATAACTTAGTTATTCAGCGACTGCTTTGGTGTTTTTTCAATGGTAGAAAAGAAATGCTGTCTGATATATTAAATTCGATTGGAATTAGAGAAAGTTACAGATACATGTTTAGCAGTTTGCACACTTACTAGTTTTTAAATCTAAAGTTTTTAGCTAGCATAGTACCTATTTAGTGTTAATAGTTCTCAGTAGAAGTTAGCGAAAGTATCTATGGTTACAAAAAACGCAGCTTCCGCGTCTGGGTGCAATATATGGGCGATGCATTTCGCAAAAACCATCAAAACTTTAATTGGTGAAATGCAAATCTCACAGAATCATTGAAGTGAAGATGGGCCGATTATATCGGTAACGCAGAGACCGCAAAGAACTCGCAATCATCGGTAATTTTTCAAAATAAAATTCGTGACACAAGACAGAGTAAATGGAGCGCGACGCCCTCATCGCTGCAAAGTAATTCGCAATCAAAAAGAACCGAGAATAAAGCGTTTACGTATTCGATCCATTCTTAAATTTTGGTTTTTGGATTGTCTAATTTTTTTTGAAGCTCTTCATTCATGATTCGTTGCATCTGAAGCGACGATGGAAAATTGTTTGTCTAAACTGATTCTAAACTGTTGCTGTATTATGTAAAACGTGTTTTAAACAGTGATTTGTGTTTATTCGTTTTATGCACACGTAGAGCCAGGTGCTCAGGTACGGTAATAATAATGATAAATAAATCACGTTTAGAAAACAGTACGTTTTTTTTAACAAAACATTT